CTATGTAACTTCAAAGTAAAAACCTGTTTCATCTAGTGAGTTAGGTAGGCTACGAGGAGTTGCGTTTAATCTCAAATCGCGTCATTGTGTTTAAAAACGCCAGTACTAGACTTGGTCTACAGGTAAAGATGTTGTGTTTAATCTCAAATCGCGTCATTTTGTTTTTAAAATGCCATTTCTTGACTTTGTATACAGGTACTAGTAGATGTGTTTAATCTCAAATCGCGTCATTGTGTTTTACAAACGCCAGTACTTGACTTTGTCATTGTACACCCACCTCTTGACTTGACAAGCACCCCTCGATTCTGTATTATCTTTACATAACATGTCTGGCGATTACCGAGGTTGTATATAATACGCGCCACTAGAGATTGTATAGCCTCTAAATAATACGCCGCATGAAAGTCTCGCGTTCGGATCACGGGATTGTATTAGTGAGACTTTTTTGAGCCCACCCAGCTCTTACGGGTACCTGACCCACGTTACTAAAAGGAAAGGCGGCTGGATATGGTGCTTATCACAGCGATCCCTCGAACTCTACTTCACCTGTACTTAGTCTGAATGGATATCTATACTTTCATATAATACCCAAATCTGGACATTGACCATACTCTGGACAATACCACCGACATTGCCTACCCTCTATACAATACCACAGAAACTGCATACCTTGTATACAATACCACCGACATTGCCTACCCTCTATACAATACCACCGAAACTGCATACCTTGTATACAATACCACCGACATTGCCTACCCTCTATACAATACCACCGAAACTGCCTACTTTCTATACAATACCACTGGACATTGCCTACCCTCTCTGCAATACACCTCTGAACATTACGTCAATTAACGTCGCACTACCAGCATGCATATAGAATGAAAAGAATGTCTTTATCTCCCCATACATTTCAACAGCCATAGGGTACGTGATGATCGGCATTAGCTAGCGGTGTTGTTACTTGAGTTCGGTTTTTTTATCTGCTGTCTTCAAAGTCAAAACGAGGCTAGCAAAGCAATGTGCCTCTTGGTAATCTATCATTGAACATCTTGACTTAGAAGCGACAAGTCGGTTTTGTGTTGTTTGATATAGAAGGCAGCTTAGTTTTGTAACAATTGAATGAAAAAAGACACTGAAATAGTGATCATTGTATTAAAATAAAAGGCAGCCTAACTATAATATTTTGACTGTGGTTCTAAATTATGTAAATTCTGTGTTTTAAATTTGCGGTAAGTTTTTTTTGTGAGTCATAATTAAAGCAAGTGTTATGCAATGCATAAATTAATTTTTCCTGAGTCATATGTGATTGTTTTATGGTGCTTGTATGAGTCAGCTACACGGTGGAGTTGTGAAACGTGTCTTAAGCCAAGTCTTCTGTGTTTGTGTTGACCTTAACGTGATGTGTTCAAATATTACGCGGTCAGTGTTTTTGGCTGGTCATTGTTTATGTAACAAGGAGGTTCGTATCGTGAGTAGATTTTAAGAGGAAGTTTTGTGGATGTTAAACACTTTGTGTTTGTGGTTTGTGGTGCTAACTAAAAACATGGTTTTTGTTTTTGTGCCGTGTTTGAAAAGGTGAACTCTTCAATGTCCTAATCAGGATTGTAACTTAGTTTCGAATCCCTTGTCAGATTATACCGTAGTTTATCATTCCTAGTTAGGATTATACCGTAGTTTCCTAGTCAGGATTATATCTTAGTTTCTCAGTACAAATCAGGATTATACCGCAGTTTCTCAGTCGTAGTCTGGAATATATCGTACTTTTTCATTATTAATCAGGATTGTAAATTAACTTTTTTTTTATCCCTAGTCAGCATTTCGTTGCACTTTTGTGCTCAATTGAGCTGTCAAACCATGCATTTAAATACAATTATGTCATTTGTTTACTTGCTCGTGGGCTATCATTATAATCAGGCAGGTCGAGAACAATTAGACTTGATACACGAATGTAAACAAGAGTGTGTTATGTTGTAGTTCTCTCATGGGTACCCGCGTTTGGCGCCAGTGTGGAGGCTGATTTTATACTCCAGGGACCCGTGTTTGGCCCCATTTTCGGGTCCCGTGGTTAACAAGTGTGGGGGAACTATGATTTTCACCATCATGGGGTATCCAGTTTAAGTCCTATTGTGGGGCTAATAATTGCTTCCATTTAGGAGTATCCGCTTTAAGTCCCGTTGCGGGCCTTGAATTTTACTCGCGGATGGGGACATATTTTAAGTCCATATGTTGGGTTCTTAATTGCCTTCAGTTAGGGGGGCCCATTTTACTTACATTTTGGGGAGGGGGGGACGCACTTTAAGTTCAATTGTGGGGCCCATATTTGCTGCCATTGTGGGGACCCACTTTAAGTTCAATTGTGGGACCCATATTCGCTTCCATTATGAGGGGACCCACTTTAAGTTCCATTGTGGGACCCATATCTGCTTCCATTGTGGGGACCCACTTTAAGTTCCATTGTGGGACCCATATCTGCTTCCATTGTGGGACCCATATTAGCCTCTATTACGGGACCCTCGTTTAGCCTCATGTGACGTGGACAAAGGGAGATGACGCAGTTAGACAATTTTTTTTAGAGTGCTCCTCTATGAATCATACTTGACCTCCGCAGGCAGCCCTGCATGAAGGTCACCACCAAGGTCATCCTTCGTCAGATTTGAAAACGGGTTATCGTGCGATTATCGCCATAACGTTCAAAGTCCACCTGGAAAAAAATGTTCTTTTCTTCCTGTTATTTGTAACTTTATTATAAAAAAATACTTTTAGCCTAATTTTTTATTTGTCTGATACGTGATTCGATTTCTTTCAAGGAAGAACAAAGTAAAAACGGAAAATTCGTTGAATTAATAATTGAAATAGGACTTGGTCATATAGTTCGTATGCTGATCTTGAGAAACTTCAACAAAATTGTTATAGTGATTAGGAAATACACAATAGAATGTTGTTTTGATATAGCACAAGAGAGTCAGTGTTTGTTTTATATAGTACAATAGAGTCAATGTTTTAGTTTACTAGTGTACTTGTTGAAATACTACTCAGTCTAATTGCGTCCGTAAAGTTTTTTTTTATATCCTTGAACCTATTTAGCTCTATTCAGAAACTAACACAACCTGTGATTAATTAGAAAGACAATAGTGGCATTGTTTTAGTTTACTATCATACGATAGTGTATGTATTCTTAAAATACCACTCACCTAGATTGCGAAAGTAGCATTTTTGTGTCCTTGAGCTTTTTCAGTTTTATTTCGTAACCAGCACAACTTGTGATTTCTTAGAAAGACAATAGTGACCCTGTTTTAGTTTACTATCATAAGATAGAGTATGTACTTAAAAATACCACTCAACTAGATTGAGTCGGTAACCTTTGTTTGTGTTCTTGAGCCTACTCAGCTCTATTCCGTAACCAGCATAAATTGGTGTTTGTCAGAACAACTTGACATTAAGCTTTGACGTTTGTTACAAAATAAAACGGACACAGCTACTTAGTCCGTTTGTATTTCACTTTACTACTAATTAAACGGGACTTAAGTAATAGTGTTGCTAAAAATAGATGCTCTACTTCTCAGCTTAAGAGCCAGTGGGTCATTCGTTAAGTTTTGGGGGACTTCCCTGTAAGGGTTTAGCTGTAGCTCTTTATAGTGACAGGCAGTCATCCTGCCGTGTGACGTCAGCTGATTGTGTGTGAAACGTCACACGCCGTCTGCTGCACTTGATGGCTTCTGTTGATGGGGCGGAGGAGGGGGGGGGGAGGTGTCTTTAGTCAAGCGAGTAAACGATTGCGCGATTGTTACTTTGTGTGTGGGGGGGGGGGGGGGGTGGACGGAGAGGAAGAGACGTAACATTTTTTTTTAAATTTATATTATACGTAAATTAATTAATAATTAAATTTGTTTTTTTTTTTATGTTTTTGAGTTTAGAATTACTGTAAAATAAGATGTAATATCTTGACCTTTTGATTTTTGTTGATTTGAAAATAATCTCTACCCCCCCCCCCCTCCTCCTTATTTCAATTCATTTACTTTAAAACATCAGCTTCAAATTGAGAACCTTAAAAACCAAAACGCGTAAATTAGGGAAAAAATAATATAAAATAAAAATGTAATGTATATTAAGTATGCAGCGAATGTATAAGATGTGAATACATTCTTCACATGAAAGTGACGCGATTGTTTATGTGCTCATATTCTGCAGATGTCTCACATTGTTAGAATCCCATACATCTGACATACGCACATACATATCTAGCGGACATGTCAAGTTCCGTAATCATAATTTGTGGACTTGATTACTTCTTTAATTAGTGTCACAATGATTGAAATATGAACGGGGCGGGGGGATAGAGGTTAGAGGTTAAATATTTTTATAACTGCTTGTCAACATGCGTTAAAGGGACGTTACTTTAAGATGTAAGTGTCGCTTTAAGGATAATAAATGAGAATTACCTTTTCTATTTGCTTGTATAAAATGCTACATAGCTTACAGGAAAAACAATAAGATAATGATTACACTAGCCTATTAACTTCTAGTAACATCTAAGTTAAAAATAGACATAGCATGTGTTAGTATTAAGAGATACATATACATATAAAATACATACATATATATAATATATATATATATATATATATATATATATATATATATATATATATATATATATATATATATATATATATATATATATATATATATATATATATATATGCATATATATATATATATATGCATATATATATATTTATTTATTTATATATGTATATATAATGTATAAATATATGTATGTAAATACATATGTATATATATATATATATATATATATATATATATATATATATATATATATATATATATATATATATATTCTTCACGTGTGGGCGGCATAATTAATATTATGCATATAATATGTGTAAAAAACACAGGAGTATCTGGGCATTAAAATTGTCACACAAATTTAGCAACTGATTAACAACTTTTTTTTCTTTTTTTTTTTATTTTAGACAGGTGAACTAGCGCAGAAAGCGAAGATAAATTGAGCGAGGCGTCCATAGGAAACACGAAAACGCCGGAAGTCTGTGTCAACTTTCGAAATAAAGTGCTAACTTTACAACCTCACCCCTACATCAACAAGTGGGCTGGACTATAAACAGAGTCGACACCGGATACCAGAGATCTAATTTTAGTAAACTTCAAATACAACATCTCGAGAAAAATAATTATAAATTTTCTCGAGACAAGAATTCAAACCGGAAGTAGTTTTTACATAACCGGTAGTGGGTTTTTTTTTGCGAACGTTCAAGAGACATTTTACCAAAGCAATTTTAACCAAGAAGTGTATTCCAAGATTATTCAACAAAAATGGATTTTTCCTGACTGGGGTATAGACAGTGAAACATTTTATTTTCACTACTTCTTGAAAAAACGAAGAAACGAGAATACTTTGCTAAAGAAAATATTTATTTATTTATAAGTTACCTTGGATTTGAAAAGAAATTCCTAAATTATTCCGTCCAATTCAAAAAAATAATTATAAGAATCTCAAAACAAGGACATATTTAGATCTTTACAGTAAATCAATTGTTGGAGTTTCCTAATTTCTTTTGTCGTGAAAAGAAGACAGACCGCAACCAACAGACCATGAAACCCCAAGCTGTCGTCATGGCAACCATCGTGGTGCTACTCATCATTCTCGCGACACTCGGCACCACAGAAGCTAAACCATACAAAAATGACATACTTTCAGGGTGAGTAATAGTTTTGGTTATAGTTTCACTAGAAAATGTTTGTTTTCATTTGCATTCATTTCTAATTAGAACCATACTGCTAGCACTAAAACAACATTTTTGCGCGCGTGTGTCTGTTATTAAATATATATATATATATATATATATATATATATATATATATATATATATATATATATATATATATATATATATATATATATAAAACAAAATATTCATAGAATGTACAGTAGATGGCACATTCTCATATTCGTTTATGACTATAATTCTGTATAATTCACCTTTTACTTATTATGGTAATAAAACCTTACTACGCCACCGAAAACGACTAAAAATCCCTAATGCGCCCATGTATATTAGCAATAATCTGATTAAGCCACAACGGAGACTTTAAAAAATGTAATAAGTCCTGTAAACAGTATTCTACTTGAAACATTAGGGGGGAGCTAAATTTTCTGGGGAGGGGGTTGGGCGATACTGATAAAAGTACATATTTTGTATACTAATTCTACTTCTTTCTGGGGGTAGAAGTGCTTTCCGCCCCCCCCCCCCCCCACCTCCATCTAAAGGGATGCCAGAAAGAAACTCTGCCTACAAAACACTATTAATCTTAATCACGCCCCTGCAAATAAACCTCATTTACATTTCCTGATGTTGACGATTTATTAAGCACATCTAAATTGGTCTCAAGGCCGAGACGGGTTTTTTTTATATAATAAAAAGGTCTCGCTCTGACCCGGAAAATTGTGTCATCGTCGCAATGTGTCATGCAAGTGTCATGAGATGACATGACAGTATGTCCGTGTCAGTCAAAGCTGTTGAGAAACTGAACCTGTTTATTCTGCAAAGGTCCGCATAAATTCGTTTCGGTGCGACCTACTTGAATCATCGTTGTTGTTTTTTTTTTTTTTAATGGATGGGGTGGGAATGAGGTTGGGGATGGGTGGTTAAGTGGGGGAGTGTTATAAAAAAGTAAAGTTTCCCTTTCAAACCTGACGGTCTATGGGGCAAGTGAAGTAGAGTTTACTTTTTCTGTGACCTCGGCATATGAAGAGATAGTGTGGTCATCACTATGCCCAGCCGCCTTTACTTTCCCTAACGTGAGTTAGGTACCCATCAGAGTTGGGTGGACTCAGGGAGGTCTACTGACTTGAACCCGGATTCGAACGCGAGACTTACGGGTTAGCAGTCCAGCTCTCTACCGCTAGACCACTCCGTCCCACAGACTATTATATAATACCGAAAAATTGGGCTGTGACTTAACAGGTTACTTTGACGTGTATTTCCCCTGTTGTGTAAGAGAAGATTATATTGATGCTGAGGGCAAAGGTTGGGTCAGAGGTTAAAGTTCAAATAGAACACACAATATAGTCCGCATGGACTGGCATATTTTGTAAACACGTGCAAATAGCAATAAGCTTTTTTTTTTAGGTTCAACGTTGTATTAATCAACATACCAACCATTCATAAAGCTGGCTAGTTCAATCGCCTAGACCAGGGGTTCCCAACCTTTTTTTACTCTAGAGCACATTCTAAAATATCGGTAGGGTGGCGGGCACCACCTATTTTAAATCGACAAACTCCTTCCAGAGGCGTAGCGACCCTTCCCGTCACCCGGGGACAAAACTTTCGATTTGCACCCACCCTCAAACTTTCGATTTGCATCCCCCCCCCCCTCAAATTTTCGAGTTGCACCCCCCCCCCTCTCAAACTTTCGATTTCCATCCCCATCAACCATTCAATAATGTTTATGAAAAAAATTATGTCTCTGTCGAGTAGTGAGAGGCGGGCACAAACGAATCGTTCGGCGGGCGCCATGGCGCCCGCGGGCACGGGGTTTGGAACCCCTGGCCTAGACTCTAGAGTAAGAGATACACATATATATATATATATATATATATATATATATATATATATATATATATATATATATATATATATATATATATATAGGCCCCTAAATATATATATATATATATATATATATATATATATATATATATATATATATATATATATATATATATATATATATATATATATATATACCACCTCCTTCCAAGGCTGGGACTTGTAACTGTAATAAAGTAACGCGTTACTTATAAAGTAACCACTCGTGGATATTTTGACATCTGTACCCACAATCTATCACAACTAAACCATCATGCACCACTAGCTTCACTCTAGCCCCGACCCACACCACGGCTTCCGTTGACGTCACGCATGGGAAGATAACCCGTGTAATGCATTATACCTCGGATTAATTCCCTTGGTGACTTGCAGCGCGGTAAAACTGTTCTGATTGAGGAGTTTATTTTAATCCCCATAATCCTTTTATACGATTCGGCTTTTGATTTCGTCGTACTTGTAAAATATTTTTAAAAAATATAAGAGAGAAATTTTTATTTAATGTGGCGATAAAGACGAAACACAATAAAAAAATGTTAAAAATGTTTTTGTAATAAATATTTTAAACATGAGCATCAATAGTTCTGTTTGGTCATAAAAAAAAAATTATATTTTAAAATTTTAAAAGTGATATCGTAGGTGGGGGGGGGGGGGGGGGGGCACTGAAATAATAATGTTCTTAGTGGTTGAAATAAAGAAATACATAACCTTGAAAATAACATTTATTATCCTATTTACGCGAATAACATACATTTAAAAAAAAAAAAGTTTTTTTGTACTTTAACCTTTCATGGAATTTTTGTTCTAATGTTCGTTAAAACCTAAAAACATAATGCCACCCATTTAGAGAAAAATAAAAGTTGATATAAAAATATTTTTGTTTAGCCGTGAGCCATTTCTGTGGTTGACATTCATCAGCACGTGAATTAATACAGTGAGCAGTTAAGCTCATGCAATCAACTGAAACACACATCACCATCTTCGTCACACACACACACACACATACCACACAAATGACAGGAAATGACGTCACACTTGTCCTTACTCTGACATTTATAATATAAACATTTGGGATAATAGCACAAGAAGAGTATAATAGCAGCATTCGTTTCGGTAATTTGTGCCTGTTAGTGAGGTAAATATCAACATCCGTTTTCAACAGTCGCACGTAATATCTTGTTTAGCGTATTATAATGTTGGTTAGTAATAATAATAATAATAATTTAATGTCATAAATACTTGAATCCATATTAGGGATTTTTTCTTTTTTTCAGTGTTTGATAGTGGACTCGTCCAAAAATGGGAGTGTTTGGTTGTTATTAATATTGTAGTATTGTAGAATCAAATTTAGGGTTAGGTTTCGGAACAGGGTTAGGGTTAATTTAGGTCTTGGGTTAGGGTTACGATAAGCTTTATTAGATTAGCGATTTACATTAGCTTTTTTTTCTACCACTAATAAAATAACGTCCTCGTTGTTTTTTTTTAAGATTCCACAGTTGTCTCACCATTGTGTCACCATCACTGTATCACCATTGTGTCACCATCATTGTCTCGCCCTTGTTTTACCATTGTGTTACCATCACTGTATCACCATTGTGTCACCATCATTGTCTCACCATTATGTCACCAATGTGTCACCATCATTGTCTCACCATCATTGTCTCGCCCTTGTCTCACCATTGTGTCATCATCACTGTATCACCATTGAGTCACCATTGTGTCACCATCATTGTCTCATCATCGTGTCAGTACCATTGTAACACCATTGTGTTACCATCTCTGTATCACCATTGAGTCACCATTGTCTCACCATCATTGTCTCATCATCGTGTCACTACCATTGTATCACCACTGTGTCACCATCACTGTCTCACCATTGTGTCACCAGCATTATCTCGCCATTGTGTCACCATCTTTGTCTCACCATTGGGTCATCATCATTGTATGAGATTCCCTGACTCAGCACTAAAGATTCCCGGCATTCCATTACAAAAGTAATGCTAAAGTACCCCGCCCTTCACAGACTACTCTATTGTCAATAAACATGCGTGGCTCAAGAAAAATATCCCCTTTCAGTTCCTCGTTTAGCGGTGAAGTTTTATTTATTTTTTATTTCATAGTCGAGTTGTCTGTTCTTTAATAAACCACAAGTGCTACTTGTGGTTGTAATGAAGAAACAAGTGCACTTATAACATGTTTTAAGTGGTTTTTATACATGACGTCTAAAACGTAAAGAAAGGGCAGTTCGACATTTGGAGACAGTGGGTTACGACATCGAGAAGTGGGTTTTAAAAAAAAGTTAGGTGGTGTGTTGTTTTAGTATCTAAAATAAAAATGATTTTTTGTGTGGTGTTGGTTTACAAGCGACGTCATTTTAGGGAATGGGTGCGGGGAGAGTGTGGCTTTTGGCGACAAGTGTTATTACGGAAGTGGGAAGGGGTGTCGGATAAAATAACAAACGTCATTTATGGACAAGGCATCAGATTCTTCAACACACAGCATACATTTTCAAAGATTTTTTTTTAAGTCGAACGCAGCACATTTCAAGCTACAAGCTAGTTCTGTAAATAATGGAAACATTATCCGATACGTATAAAAATTGTATTTAATTTTTATACGTATCAACATTTCTGGGATAAAAGTTGACTAAGATTAAAATTGTATAAGTGTACTTATATTTCTTATTCAGGTACAGCTTGAAACTTAATCAGAAATTGTGTTGTTCTTTGCTTTTTTATACATATATATATATATATATATATATATATATATATATATATATGGAAGTGTATACAGTTGTATGATACCGGATCGAATTCCTCTCCATTAAATTATTGGTCTCTGTTTACCAAACTGGCCCTAAAATTGATTATTTCTTCCCTGGCCACTTGTCTCAGAATCTGATGCTCTAACATTTGCAGACGATGCCGTAGGAACCGCGAAACACGTGACCGTGGTGTAAGAACGAGGGCGGGGGGCGTTTGTGGCAACTTGGCCGTGTTTGATGGCCCTTTATCTTCGGGTCGCGAGCTTAATCTTTTAAAGTGGCGGGGACAAAAAATTTTAAGCTCTTAAGCTCATTGAGTGGCATG